TGGTGTGTGTGTGTGTGTGTGTGTGTGTGTGTGTGTGTGTGTGTGTGTGTCTGTGTCTGTGTCTGTGTCTGTGTCTGTGTGTTTATGAGCATTTGCAAGTTTGTGTGTCCCTCCAGACTCTGGGAGCCAGCCGTCTATGGTGGGCCTGATGACTTGCCTGTGTCATACTTCTAAGTGATGCCAGTGCTGATATGAGATCTGTGATCCTCACTTTAAGTAGCTCTGCTCTTGTCCTATGTGTTCACCTTGATGCCAAATAGGAATCCCTTGGGGAGATTATATAGCTGTCCTGATGTGGGTCTCATATCCAGAATTATGTGCTCTGTCCCTCTGTGTGGTAGTAATTTGCCAGGCTCAAGAATCCTTGTCCTGAAACAAGAGAAACATCATTTCAGGTTTCTTGTGTGCCAAGACCTGTAGCATAGACTCCTGGGAACAGAGAGCTAGACTGTCTCTCCAGGCTTGCTGGGTGGACTCATGCAGCAAGGACACCCTTCATCTGAACACCCAGTCTCTGTTGGCCTGGGCCAGGATTACAAGTTAATTAAGCACCAGGAAGTTTCAGTACATAGTAGCCAGACTGAGACCTCCACTGTGTTGTAGTAGATCAGGACAACAGCTTGTGTTCACATGATCCTTGAGGCCTATATTCATGAAGTTCTTTGCTCCTAATGCCATGCCCTCCCACAGGCCAAATACTTGGTATGAAGATCTGAAGATGGAGCATGAGGAGGTCATGACTGACCTACAGAGATTGCAGAATGAGAACAAGGAGGCTTCAGAGAAGGTGGATGAGCTTGCCAACCTGACAGTCTTCTATCGGTAAGTGCCTGTTGGCATGGACCCCTATAGTTGTTGAGTGGCCATCTATGCCTTCTTTTATTATTATTTTTATTTTTTAATTTTATAATTTAATTTAACTTTACATATCAGCCACAGATTCCCATGTCCTCCCTCCTCTCTTCCCCCGCCCCTCCCCTGTCCCCCAATACACCCCCAATTCCCATCTCCTAGTGGGCAAGGATTAGCCTGGGGATTCAGCTCAGTGTGGTAGATTTATTCGAGGCAGGTCCAGTACTCTCCTCCCTTCACTCAGGCTGAGCAAAGTATCCCTGCATAGGCCCCAGGCTCTAAAAAGCCAGCTCATGCACTAAGGACAGGTCCAGGTCCCACTGCCTGGAGGTCTCTGAAACAGTTCAAGATAATCAACTGTCTCACATATTCAGAGGGTCTGATCCAGTTTGTGGATCCTCAGCTGTAGGTTCATAGTTCATGTGTTTCCGTTAGTTTGGCTATTTGTCAATGTGCTTTTTCCAATCATGGTCTCAACAGTTCTGGCTCATACAATCCCTCCTCTTTCTTGCTATTGGACTCCCTGAGCTCCACCTGGGGCCTGGTCGTGGATCTCTGCATCTGCTTCCATCAGTCATTGGATGAGAATTCTATTAGGACAGTTAGGTTGTTTGGCCATCTGAACACCAGAATACATCAATTCACAATTTCTCTCGACCATTGCAAATAGTCTACTGTGGAGGTATTATTGTGGATTTCTGGGGAACTCTCTAGCACTCTGCTTCTTCCTATTCCCATGGGGTCTTCATTTATCATGGTCTATTTTTTCTGTTTCTCCCTCACTGTTCTTGATCCAGCTGAGATCTTCTGCTCCCCTAAGCTCTCTTTCCCTTAACCATTGCCCTTCATTACTCCTGCCTCATATCCAGTTTGCTCATGTAGATCTCATCCATTTCTCTGTCATTGTGTGATCCCTGTGTCTTTCTTAGGGTCTTCTTTACTAGGTAGCCTCCCTGGAGTTATGAGTAGCAGTCTAGTCATCCTCTGTTTTACATCTAGTATCCTCCTATGAGTGAGTACATACCATTTTTGTTTTTTGGAGTCTGGTTTATCTCACTCAGGATGATTTTTTTTCTAGATTCATCCATTTGCCTGCAAACCTCCTGATCATTGTTTTTCTCTGCTGAGTAGTACTCCATTGTGTATATGTACCACATTTTATTTATCCATTCTTCAGCTGAAAGGCATCTAGGTTGTTTGCAGGTTCAGGCTATTACAAACAATGCTGCTATGAACATAGCTGAACATGTGCTCTTGTAGTATGATTGAGCATTCATTGGGAATATGCCCAAGAGTGGTATAACTAGGTCTTGGGGGAGATTGATTCCCAATTTTCTAAGAAAACCCCATATTGATTCCAAAGTGGCTCATCTCTACCTTTCTTTGTCTCTAGACTGGAGAGTCCACAGCTCTGGTTCTGTCCTTTTTTGCACATTAGCAAGCATCTCTTTGATTTGTGTCACTTGCACTTAGTTTTGCTCAGTATGAAAGAGACTATTCACTCCTCCCACCATTGTCCTGGAGCCTCAGAGCCTCTAAGTAGAAGAGCAAACTGAGCTTTGGTGGTGCCATTCCAGTACTCTGGAGGCAGAGTAGGCAGATCTCTGTGATCTAAAGGCCAGTCTGGTCTACAGAGAGTTCCAGGGCAGATAGGACTGTTAGGCAGAGAAACCCTGTTTTAAAAACCAAACAAACAAAAGACAGAAAGAGAAGAAGGAAAAAAAGAAGAAAGGAAAAGGAAAGTAAAAAGAAAGAAAAGAAAAGTGATTTGCACTATGAGGGGAATGTCAGGCAGCACTGGGCATCGGGAAGCTCAGGCCTAGGCTTTACAGATCTGGTTTCTGTGGAAACTGTAGATAGAATAAACTCCCCTTGGGTCTCCTGTCCTCTCTCAGAGGGTATTTGTCCACTACTTACTGATGTTCAGGACAGTTGAAGGACTCCTCTTTCCTTTGAAAGGACATAGATCCCTATTCGTGTTGGGGTTTTCTGAAGTATTTCGATTTTTTTACTTAGCTGCTCTCTTATTTGGCCTTTTGAGTGTAGCTGTCATGGCTATTTTGGGCTCTTGGCTATGTCTTCCTGAGAACCTGGGGCCATTTGTCATTATGGTTCCTGGAGGCAGGGGTGGCAGAAGGAGACTGGCAGGGCCTTACTCTACAGAGGGTCTTTTCCAGTGGTCTGCACAGCCAGGTCCTCATGGAACATACTCAGCTTAAGGACCAGGTAGCCATGCTGAGGCAGGAGAACCAGAATCGGAGAGAGGATTGGGTCCTGCTGAAGATCCACTTGAAGGCATTGAAATTGATCTGTGAGGACCGAGAAGAAGAGACCAGTGACCTCCAGAGCCAGCAACAACAGGTAGGGACAGGTAGGTGGGTCAGGCTAAGGTCTGGCACCATTTGCCCATTGGATTCTCTGTCTGCCCATCCACTCACCTGTGCTTTCACCCATCACCTTACTCATCCAGCCAGCCACCCACTTCATGACATCTGAGGTGTTCACTTCAGTGTCCATGCACAAGTCCTTCTGGGAAGTTAGCCTCTTCTGAGAAACTAAATTATTAGCATACCATGCCTGCTGCTCTGCTTGAAACTGCGGTCCAATGAGGGAAATGGGTCAGTAACATATCAAACCTACATGTCATTTCGATAGGTAGGATGCTATGCACAGAGCTTTGAATGAGTGAATTGTGGGTCCTGAGGCTCATGTGATTGGCTGGGGTCATGTGAGATCACAGAGGGGAAGCAGCTTACAAGGAGGAGTATCCCATGTAAATGCCAAACGAGTCCTCACCATAACCATAGATTTGGGTGGCATGTGGCCTTCTCATTTCTTTATGAATCCCAATGTGTTCTCTTCCCTTTGACTATTGGTTCACACTGACATAAGCCCGAGTAGCAGCTCATGAGCCCTCTTTTCTGTGAGTGCTCCTTGAGAGCTCCACCATTCTGGACAATACAATCTGGATTTGATTGGTTGAATAAATGAGGGCTTTTGACAAGCTGAGTGCTGGGGTGGGCGCTTTGCTGCTTCTGAAGTAAATTCTCTAGCCATCTCAACAGAGTCTGGCCCAACAGAGCACACTCCCCACAGCAGTATTAATCCTCAAGGAATGACGGCAGAGTTGTGAGACTCTTCTGAAAGTGCTGGTGTGCTTTGCCTACTCATCTGTTCATCTTGCATGATGTTGTATTATGCTCACTTCTTTTTCTGTGAGTGTAGTATAAGCTCTTTTGGGTTGCCTCACTTACCAGTAAGCTATTTTGATCCTTTGTATGTGCTTCATGTGTATGACACTGTGTGCATGCCTGTATACACCTCTCCACTAAGAACACTATGTTCTAATGAACAGGCATTTGAAAGATTGGAGGGAAGCCTACAGGTCCTGATGAAACAGAAGGAGATGATCACTCAGGAAAAGGACTTGGCAGAAAAGCTGCAGCATCACTTTGAGGTCTCCAAAATGAGGTAGGAAACGAGGCTGGGGGAGCAGGTGGAGCCAAGTGGGTACATTCTACCTGGGATCACTGTCATTTATGGGATCCTGCTCAAATGCTTGGCTCCCAGCTACATGCAGGGCAAGAACACTTGAGAGTATTGTTCAGGTTGAGTGTACAAACAATTCTGTCCAGGAATCAATATGTTGAATACTCAGTGTGTCTGAGCAATTTTGTCCTTTCTCCCTTCCGAGTGCTCTGGTATGGCCTGAGCAGGCTTTCCTTATACTCACAGAGATCTTCCTGCTTCTGCCTCCCCGTGATGGAATTCAAAGTTGTGCATCACCAGGCCTTGCTAAAATTACATTTTCACCTAGGAATATCCCCTGTAAAGAAGAGATTCCTACCTTTGAATACTGCTCTGTGCAGCATTTCTCCTTTTCCTGGGACAAGTGTTCTCTGGATTAAATAGGTTAAGGACTTTCCAGAATGAACCCAGGCAGATGCCTTAGCTGTAGGGAAGATCAGAACCTTTTTAGGAGTGTTCTGTAACAGACTGTGAAAGAGTCAGGATGCAGATTCCTAGTTCTGGTAAAGGAAATCACAAATTTGTGTTTGATCCCAGAGTCCATCAGGGCAATTGTTCTCAGGCACACATCTCAGGAAATGCTGCTCTAGGATTACTGACTGATTCTGTATTGCATGTTGGTCATGTTCAAGGTGCCTCCTGGGCATGAATCCCGAGCTATCTTCATGACCTTGTTTAAGTGTCCTGATTGCAAGGCTGCAATATGGCTATCAATAAAATGATATGGTTTAATCTGTAATTCATCATGAATAATGAGTATCACTTCTGTGCTGTTGACTATGTTATTAATAGTTGTTACTTTTGCAAAATGATGTCCTCAGACTGTAAGAGAAAGACCCTTTCTTTCTAGTAGAACAGAGAACAAATACTTCTTAGTCAAATTCTGACAGGTGTTTAGGGCTGAGGAAAGTTCTAGGCCCAACTACTCTTGTGACTCTTACACAAACAATGACTTCAGTCAAAGATCCATGTTGAGCATCCAGCACAGTTGAGGTGGT